GGGAAAGAATTCAATGTTGTAAGCTTGTATATATATCATCGTTATCATGTTGTTGGTTTGCAGACGACATTAGGACGTGTGACTATCCAAATAGACAAAGTTGTGACGGAGGGAGTGTACAGTGGATCTCTAAGTTTGAATCACGACAGCAACAAAGGTGCCTCTTCTAGGTCGCTCGAAATCGAGATTGAATGGTCTTGTCGGACATCTGATGATACCACTTGAGAATACAAAAAAAAAACAGCTTTCTTCCATCTCGATTCCTCGAAGCAATGCACTGTGACTCGAGTCACGGATTAATGCACATCGGTACGAGACTCTGTGTTTAATATTTGCTCCTGATAGTTGTGGCAGGAAAAATGGGAGCAAGGGGGGGGGAGGGACATATAGGCAAAATTCCACAAAGTAGAAGAAAGGTGTTGTGTAAAGGTTGCTCTTCTGCTCTACCAAACTATGGCATGAAGCTAAAACAGCACGAAGTGCTGTGATTCTTGAAACAATGTTAAAGTGTAAATTTCGGAATACATGAGCATTGAATCTGCTAGAGATGGATAACGACCCAAGTTTTTCGGGTGTATATGATCTTGGTCTCGCCCCTCCCGTTTCTTGGTCATATTTGATCTCAAACGTATGAGAGTTAGATATAGGTACTTGCAAAATGTGAGGTACAGAGACCAATGTACGTGCGAGATGCAGCCAAGACTCAGGTACTTGGTCGACAAGGGCAAGTGTGAGAGTGCGAATGATGAGTCGAGGAGGCGAGGCCAAAGGACGGTGAGGGGAGAGAAGAGGGGCAAAAGAGCCATCTAATAGATAATACAAACGCATTCACTACAGGAGAATTCAATAACTTGAAATCAGACCAAAACCCAAGCCTTTGAGGACAGTCACAAAGGCAAAATGGCATTTGCTAAGTGTTAAGAGACAGTCCCCAATGCACCTTATCTTGGTGGACTGAAACTAAAAAAAACACCAAACAAGTAAGCAAGTGGATGCTGAAACAGGAAGGACAGATAAAAGCAACTGACTGAGGAAATATTTTGGTCATTTTGCAGCACCAACTAAGACCGAACGTGCTTGGGTGAATGCCGAAATCACTCCCCCGAGCTGCAGTTTATCGTTGCACCCAAAGCTCAATCTGTACCTGCAAATATCAACCACAAGAATTTATGTAATGTTCATGGATACAGACTGGCAAAACTATTTTCTTTTCCTTTGGGTATTGTTATTTAACGTAGTATCTCGGCATGAAGTACTAACTCTATGTCTGCTAAATCATTGATCAACTGAATTCTGACATCTGACGGCATCTTGATCTTGAAAACAAACCTGTTAGATCGATTGTGCGAAAGTAAGACATGGGTTAACCCAGAAGTAGTTGAAAGAGAAGCAATACCACGAAATATAACACTCACATTGTCACCTCTTTGACAATATCAACAATGGCCAGTCCTTTCCTTGTCTTCATTTCGGATATCTCTACAGAGATAGGCCAGGAAATAGTTATGAAAGCGGATTAAACGTAAGAAGAGAGAAGAACATTAACGTTATTGGTTATGGTGGTTCCATACTTTCGTAGCTTTCGGCAAAGGATTCATTCAGAAGCCAGTAAGATATCTGCTCAATGTCCTTGGGCAATGGATTTCCAGTGCATAGATATACCTCTTCCTCTGTTATTTGCTGAGAAGCCATATGTGTTGACTGCTCATAAAAAGAAATCGGTTATAAATTTCTCGCAGATCCATTTTCAGAGACTGAAAATATTTTTTGTGCCCGTTTCTGGGTTTACAGATCAAGTCAGCGAACTAAGTGTATAATTATCAGTTTTTCTGACCAGACCTGCAAAATGTTCAAAGCCTTTCTCATGTCCCCGTTGCTCAAACGTACAACGGCCGATAAACCACTCTCAGTTACGTCAAGCCTGTTTCAGTCAGGAAAGGGAAACACGAGAAAGGCCATAAACAAAAGGAACACTAAACAAAAACAAGACAGAGTTGGGGAGAAAACCATAGAATTTTGAAAACCAAAAGAACTTAATCCTCACCCTTCAGCTTCAATGACATGCTTGAGACGTTGACTCACATGAACAGGATCAAGAGGAGCAAATCTAAATCGAGTACATCTAGACTGTAAAGCTGGGATGATCTTGTTGACATGATTGCAGATGAGAGCAAACCGAGTGTTCTTTGTGTATTTCTCAATTACTTGGCAAACGTAACAAAATCGGCGAATAAGTGAGTTACATATTTAAAACTTCAAAGGCCAGAGAGTTAGGAAATGGGGTAAAGTTTTACCTCTACGCAGGGCGAATTGAGCATCTTTCGTCATGGCATCTGCTTCATCTAGCAAGACCAACTTTACCGAAGATTTTCCGCTGCAAACAAGATTCGGTCCTTATTCTATGCTAACTTCTTACGCAAAAGAATATCTAATTTTATTGAGTGTGATCTCACAGTTACACATGCCAAAAGCATGATTCCAGATTAAGAGCCAATACTGATTTGTTACTAGGATTACACATATACCTGAATGAGAAGCTCTGTGTGCTAGCAAAATCTTGAATCTGTTGCCTTACAACATCAATCCCTCTATCATCAGATGCATTTAGTTCAAGAATCATATTATGATACTGGGCTCCATATAGCTTCCGGGCAACAGCTAGAATCGTTGATGTTTTGCCCGTACCAGGAGGACCATACAACAGAAGATGAGGTAATCTGTTCTCGTTCGTCAACCTATCAACTATTTGAGACAACAAAACAACACTCAAGTTGAGTTCAGGTAATAGCTGTAACGAGCATTAGTTCCGATATCCAAATGAGACAAGCAACTACATATGCACGATAAACCTTGTAAAAAGGTGTAAGCTTGATCGATTTCTGTAGGCACTAGAAAGATATCAACTTTAGAAACTAAAGCAATGTGTCCCTCACAACACGTTGCCAAATTCAACTCACAGAGGGACAATGCCTTAGCTTCTTAAAAGAGTAGAAACGGACATCATCAGAGACACAATTGGTTCTTTTCCTTCTTCTTTAATCCGTTCGTAAAACGAAAAGGACCCAACTATAGAGCCATAATTTCCATATTTTCTACCAACAACCCAGCCGTCGTCGCCAGATTCTCGCACTATCAAGTGGGTTATCTAGAGAAACAAGCAGATTACAGTGACGGCTAAATCAAATTCCGGAAATAGAAGCAAACCCTAGCGCAGGCGAACGAAAACATGAAGAGAGAGAGCAAGTGTGTGTGTAAAGGCCATTACTCGTATCGATGATGTCTCGGTGAGCAGCGACGTCTTCGAGAGACTGAGGCCGATACTTCTCGACCCACGGCGTCGCCTTGCTCTCTCGCGACGAACCCATGGCGACGGCTTTTCCCTTGTTTATGAGCTTACGAGGTTGCTGATTCTCTTCCACGTCGATCTCCATCGCGGAATCCACCTCCGCCATAGCAACTGCTTCTCGCTACGTCGCACTCTCTCTCTCCCTCTCTGTATCGTCCCTCTCCGATGGCGCCAAGTTCTAGTTTTTGAGGAAGCTGACATTTTTCTCTGCTCAAAGTATAATTACACTTTTACCCTCGAAGAAGGAGGATGGCCCATTGGCTTGGGCCCATTGGCTCGGGCCCATTTTGGTGATAATTTACTCAGTTCTGACAGATATGTTTTCTCCATTATTATATATTTTTACATTATCTATCTCTCTCTCTCCATTATTACCATTTAAATATTGCATTTATATTATTTTAGATTTAATAATTTACATAGAAAACAGTATTTTTTTAACCAACCCACCTAATTGTTTTATATTTTTATGTCAGAAATAATTATTTTACTGTTAGAATTTAAATCTATTGATTGACTGTTAGTTCTTCCAAATGTAGTTTAAAAAAATAATTTTATAAAATCTAGGAAAATTTCTAAATAATTTACTTTCTAACCAACTAATGATAGATGCGTTTTAACGTACTCATCAACGGAAATGATTCTCTATCATTGACAAAAATACTATTTTAACGAATAAATCTAATTTTTTCTTTTTCATAAGAAACAAAAGTATAGTTTCTAATTTAAAATAAAAAAAAATGTTATTTCTTGAGATTTAGAACTAAAAAAAAATATGTTTGGCTCTTAATATATATATATATATATATATATGTAGGGATATTAAGGGAAAAAATATCTATGGGTGTTTCTGTAATTATGACACTCGCCGGTAAGTAAATTAAAGCATGGTTTTTGGAGGGAGTATAAGAAATCCGGCATGTGACCTCCATTGTTCTCTCTCTCTCTAACAATGTCTGCTAAGTCTCAGAGATCCTCCACAATCTCGCCGTTACGTTCTCGGCGATCGCCGGCGGATGCTCCACCGAGACGGCCGGCGACTCCATCCTCTCAGTTCTCCGCTTCTCCGACCACCTCTTCCACTCCAGTTCCATGCTCCGCCGCGAGTCCGTCGAACTCCTTCAGCGACAGGTCCTTCGCCGCCTCTCCCGCGGCTGTTACGGCGAAGCCGAAGGAAAATATTACGGTCACGGTTCGGTTCCGTCCTCTCAGGTACTGTATCTCATTATTTGTGTGTTGTGACGGAGATCGATGTTTTGTCGTTTAGTTCAGCCGTGGTGATTCTTTTGGAGCTGTGTTTGGTTATTGAATCTTTTTCTGTTGTTTTTGTTTTTGGGTTCTTTGAAATAGTCCTCGGGAGCTCAATAATGGAGATGCTCTTACGTGGTATGCAGATGGGGACTATACTATACGGAATGAGCACAACCCTTCTAGTTGTTATGGTTTTGGTTAGTGTGATTCTGGCGACTCTTATTTTGATTCTCTAGAAATTACGAGTTAATCGTTGAAATGGTAATATCTGCTGATAGAAACTTGTTCGCTGTTCAAAAAAAAAAAAAAAAGAAACTTGATCGTTGTTCTGCATTTATTTGCTCTGGATTTGGTTGACGTGTATTGGTGTTCTGTGCAGATAGAGTATTTGGTCCTGCAACCACTACTCGCCGTGTTTATGACATTGCAGCGCAGCATGTTGTTAGTGGGGCAATGCAAGGGATCAATGGTATATGACATCTATCTTGATGTTCTTCTGTAATGGCTCTAAAAGGAATCCACTGTTAACTCTTCAAGCAGTATGATGTTAGAAAGGTTTCACTTTGGAATCTTTTGTTTGACAAAGGCTTCCTTGCTTATGTGCAGGGACTGTGTTTGCTTATGGTGTTACTAGTAGCGGGAAGACTCACACGATGCATGTAAGTTCCTAGTAAAAGGTTGATCATATGTTCTGTCTCTTTCAGCAATATGTTTGTCAACGACGTAGTGAATCATTGAACTATACATAGGCTTCCAAGATCCTTTGTCCTATAATATTTTGCCATAATTGTACTAGACATGCTTTTTCTTTCCTTTTTTTCTCTATGTTTTTCAAGTAGAACAAACATAGGTGGCCATATCCTTCACCTCCTGTGCATCTATGCTGATACACCTTGTCTTATGGCTTCCCTTCAGGGGGAGCAGAGGTCACCTGGAATCATTCCATTGGCAGTGAAAGATGTTTTCGGCATTATTCAAGAGGTGTTAGATTATTTTTGTTCGTGTCTCTCTTTGATATTATTATCATTTCATTAACTAATCATGTTAGAGCTCTCCAGACACCAGAACGGGAATACCTTCTCCGTGTTTCATATCTAGAGATTTACAATGAGGTATGCCCCATTTCTCTATTTATTCATATGACCTTGCTGGTATTTTTTTTATCTTATTCTGTATCCTTAGTAACAAAAGTTTCTAAGAAATTGGTGTCCTGGTGCATCTTGGACTTAAAGTTACCTGGAAAGTTAGAGGGATGCTATTGATTTTAGTCCTCAAGTTTGTTTCTGTCTTTTTTGTTCCCTCAAATTCCTCTCAAAGAAAAAACTTTCTTTTATGTTTCTCTGCTTTGATTTTAAGAGTGATAGAATCTTTCGTTTAGAAATAGAGTATACCACATCAACTTCTTTTTTGTTTTTTCGACAACACCTTACATCAGATCATTACAAATACACACATTTATAGCCTTGAGTAAGTTCCAATGTAGTTTTAAATTCAAATACAAAAAATAGCTACACATTAACTACACAAACTGTTTGTCTTAATCTGTACAAGAACTTGAATCATATTATTCCTAACAGTCTTACCTAGACCAATACATGTGAAAGATGGTATGGAGTTAATTTCCTGGTACAGATAGTATTGAGGTTCAGGGGTGTACCTAAAGACATGAAACTGTGAAGAGATAATCGGCTGTTGTTCGGCCTGAAAGTAATGATCAACTGCCAGTTATGTCTATCATGCAACACCTGTGGTGTGATTTGAATCTGTATTTTATTGTTCTTTCAGGTCATCAATGACTTACTGGATCCAACAGGACAAAATCTAAGAATACGAGAGGACTCTCAGGTAATTGGTTGATTATGTCTGTGAGATAACCCACTAAGGTTCTACAGTTGGACCATTCATTTTGTTTTTTAGCAGCAAACGCATTACCACTGCTGTGCTTCTTATTTCATTGGCCCGATCTCTTTGCATTGTATTTTTTCTTCACAGTTTACAGACTGTTTGCTTATGTTTGTAGGGTACCTATGTGGAGGGTATAAAAGAGGAAGTTGTATTATCCCCAGCGCATGTTTTATCTCTCATTGCCTCTGGAGAAGGTATAAAACTATGTATTAGGTAGGAGGGAGATACTTGGTAATCTGCAGTGTCTGACCATCTTTTGTTGGCCTATAGTTTGGTTATTATGTTTGGTAAATATCTTTTTCAGGAGTGGTGTTAAGAAATCAGATAGTTACGCTTATGATCTACTTCCCGTATACTGCTGATTCTCGTATGATATCCTTTATTTGCGATTTATTAATTCACATGAGCATCGTTTTTCCCTAGTGGTTGTATAGACTGGTTAGTATTACAATCCAATATCAAATTATTTGCCTTGTAACTTCTGCTCTTAATAAGGTCACGCCTCTCTATCATTTTTCTTATTAGTGTTTGGGTTATGGTGCCTTTTCCGGAATCGTTGCAGAACATAGGCATGTTGGTTCAAACAATGTCAATCTTTTTAGCAGTCGGAGCCACACAATATTCACCTTGGTAACTACTAAAATTTTGAATTGTATCTGTCTTATCTCTATTTTTGCCATTAATATGCTTTAGAATGTTCCTTATGATATTGTCCTCTTACTCTTCACTTTGAATGTAATGTACGTTTCAGACCATAGAAAGCAGTCCACATGGAAAGGGAGAGAATGGAGAAGATGTTACTCTTTCTCAATTGGTAGTTCATTGGCCATACTAACTAATTTCTTCTTTTTTATATTAGAAGTTAATGTCATTCTTCGTTGCCTGAGAGTGTAGTCTGACTTTTCCTTCTACAACCTTGTAGATATCTAATATCTGACTCTAGGTTCCATGCAGCACCTTATTGACCTTGCAGGATCTGAGAGTTCTAAAGCTGAGACAAGTGGAATTCGAAGGAAAGAAGGCTCCTGCATCAATAAAAGTCTACTTACCCTTGGCACTGTAAGAAATTTATCTTTCAGTCTTAATCCAACTTTCTCCCGGTAAATCTGATGCATTGCTAGTCTTCCCCTGCAGGTTATTTCTAAACTCACAGACCCCAAGGCAGGCCATATTCCTTATCGGGATTCAAAACTTACACGTCTCTTACAGTCAACACTTAGTGGCCATGGACATGTATCAGTAAGTTTTTGGAGCTATCCCCTGAAATAAGTCAACTATCTGATGGGAATGTCACAGTTATGGTCTTCTTGCAAGTATCATAGAGCTTCCGTCAACATAGCTTTTCTTCTTCTAAAACGAGTTTACTAACATTGTTATTTCTCTAATCTTCTTTCAGCTCATTTGCACCATCACACCTGCTACCAGCACCAGTGAAGAAACACACAACACGCTGAAATTTGCTCAGAGGTGCAAGCATGTTGAAATCAAAGCTTCTCGAAATAAGGTGGACTGGATATGTAGAACTAATACTTATGACAGAGTGGCATTTAAATTTACTTCCTAATATCATTTACTGTTCTGATGTAGATTATGGATGAGAAGTCGCTTATAAAAAAGTATCAGAAAGAAATATCGTGCTTAAAAGAGGAACTTCAGCAACTGAAGCATGGGATGTCCACGTCCATGTCTAACCAAGAAGATTTGGCCAATATAAATCTCCAGGTTTTGCATGAAGATAGCTCTTCATGTGTTTTTCTTTCCCTTATAGCCAAGAAATGATAAAACTTAATTCTCATCTGATACTGGCAAGAAGCTCAAATGAAATTTTGATGCAATTGAAACATTACTTCAAATTTCTGTCCCTTTTTTTGCTTTATCTGTAAATAAAATGCATCCTATAAGTATCCTTTGTTATTTCTCATTGTGCTCTTCTACGTATTACCAGCTCGAGGCCGGTCAGGTTAAACTTCTGTCAAGGCTAGAGGAAGAGGAAGAAGCCAAAGCAGCTCTAATGGGAAGAATTCAGCGTTTGACAAAACTGATTTTGGTTTCAACAAAAAATTCTATGCAGTCAAGTACTGCTGGAAAACCTGCCTATAGATGGAGGCATTCATTTGGAGAGGATGAGGTATGTATATATCTGGTTTTGTTAATCTTAATTTGTTTGCAACTACGGTATTGTCTGCCGCTGTGTCATGTGATATCAACACCTATATCTTGTAAAAGCTAGCACAGTTGCAGTTATTTGAATTTATGATATGTCTCCATCAATATCCTGCAGCTGGCATATCTGCCAGATAGAAGACGGGAGAATGCGGCCAATGAAGAAACCGGAAACTTAGGCCTTGAAGATTCAAAAGATCGCAGGGACGACACTAGCCATCTTAACCAGACGGCTAAGGATCTGAAAAGGAACAAGAGCCGTGGAATGCTTGGATGGCTAAAAATGAAAGTACGTTTTCCTATACTTCCTCGACCCTATTTTATAGAATCAAATTTTATTTAGAGAAATTGGTGCGGTTTAATCAGAATTTAGAAGTGAACCCCTTCTGCTTGCCAGGAACAATTATGTGCAATTGTTCACGATTTCTTGTAGGCTTGTAGCCTATTTCAAAATTGATTATCCTTTTCCACCACTGCCTAACAATAATCTGTATTCCTTTAATATACATGATGATACAGAAAACTGATGGTTTGTCTGGAAATTCACCTACCACTGATAACCAAAGCTCTGCAAGAAGATTTCCTACATCTTCCACTAAAAGTTTGCAAACAAAATCGTTCAGTAGAAGAAGGGATAATCAAACAACTATCAAGTCTTCTCCGGACAGAACTGTTGAACGTGACTTGTTTGGTGCACTTGTTGAAGCAGAAGATACCGCTCTGGTGAGAGAACTCTTATTGATCATTCAGGGATTTGTAAGTGGTCACCGTGTTATCTTTTACCGTGTTCATCTGCTGAATGTTTTGCAACAGACTGGAAGTGCTAGTGTCGATCAAAGGGATCTTCTTCACGAGCAGATGAAAGTTTTAGTCGGAGAAATAGCATTGAACACCAGCTCATTGAAAAGGCTTTCAGATCAATCAGCTAACAATCCCGAAGGTTCCCAAATCAGAGTGAGCTTTTTTCGTGTGATCTTTGATAGAAAGTGTCCCAACTTCTCAGCATCCAAAGTGTTGCTTCTTTAACATGTACGGTTTCAAATGCAGGACCAGATGGAGAAGCTGGAAGACGAAATCCATGAAAAGAAGCATCAGATTCGCGTTCTCGAGCAACAGATGATTAGATCTTTTAGTATGACCCCTCATACCAATAACCCTCATGAAATTTCACAGGTAAGGTGGAAAACAATCCGAGAGAAATATAACATGGATGTGTCATATCCAATCCAAATGCATCTCGGATAATATTTCTTTGCTGTTTCTCGTTTGTGCTATATACAGGCTCTCTCCAAGCTCACTACGCAACTGAACGAGAAAATCTTTGAACTCGAGGTAGGTACTCAACCCTTTCTGGTTCCTCTAATGACTCCTTACCATTACCAATCACATTCTCTAACTCAGAGACATGAATGTTTTGTAATGAAATGCCTATTCAAGATCAAGTCTGCAGACAATAGGATACTTCAAGAGCAGCTGCAGATTACTGTAAGACGATTCCTCAGCCGATTTCCTGTTTCAATATGAGAATTTTTATCATTCCGGCTTCTTATCATCTAACATGAACAGAAATCAGAGAACGCTGAGATGCAAGAAACGATCATCCTACTAAGGCAGAAACTCGATTCCCTAACCGAGAGAATATCATCATATCAACATCCTCAGCAAAATCCAGGAAATGGATCATCAGTGAAGAATTCTTTCAACCGAAACAACGAAGAGCTAGAAATCTATGTCGATGCAGGAACACCGACAAGCGTTATGAGCTTAAATAGAATATTTTCTCAGGAAGAGACCAAAGAGATTAAGGATGAGACAACTCTAAGTCTAAACTCTCAGGTATCTTAACCATGCCCCGTTCTTGCGCAACTTCTTCTAGATACCGAGTTAGTAGCATTCACCCGTTTATCGGATTTTACATCTGTTAGGCAATGGATATAGAGAATCTGAAGAAGGAGATTATGAGATTGGCCGAGGAAAAAGATGAACTTGAAGAACAGAACAAGAAACTCACAGAAGAAGCTTCTTATGCGAAAGAGTTGGCTTCTGCTGCAGCACTTGAACTCCAAAACCTGGCAGAAGAAGTTACCAGACTGAGTTACGAAAACGTGAAATTCACGAGCAAAAGTTCCATGTCTTGCAGCTTCGGACAGAACTCCGGCAATCATTACTGACCTAACGCTGTTCAGACAAGCAACACATTAGTAGAAGGTTTGCATCTGGAGGAAACACGAAACAAAAAGAAAAAAAAAGGAACCGAGGAAGGATGAGAGATCAAACCCGGGTTTATGCCTTTGATAATCAATAATTCCTGAGAATCTCTTAAAGATGCTCGGGTTAAGCTCTTCAAAGGCAATGGATGCCGGATGAGACGTAGGGAAACAAAAAGTGCAATCTTATATCATCGATAATTGTTTGATTGTACATCGGATTACATACACCATATATATATATCCACAAAATATTTCTTTGTTCCTATACAAAATCTCTGTTTCATTTTATCTGGTCTCACGTCAAAGCTCTCCATTGTCCCGAGAACCGTCACTTGCAGGGAAAAGCTCTTCTAAGAAACCAAATCCGGCTGCTTTAGGCTGCGAAATATCTCTTTTATAATCACGATCCACACTGTCCATAACACAAGATGTGATCATGCGATGTACAAAAAAGAGAAAAAAAAAATGTACGATAGTTAGAAAATCATACGATATTATAGGTGAATGAACAGCAAAAATGGGAAGGTGGAAAGAGTTCAGAACTTGGGAAGCCTATCACAGTTTGCAGGAACCCATCCAACTCGATGCTTCTCGTTGTCATATATCACCATCATGCCTTGGAAAAAGTTGTCTAAGACGACGAAAAAGGCGGAAAAAGAGTTCAGAAATTTGAGTATAAACCCGAAAGGCGCAATTGGTAGTTTAGGTTACCTCCGATTATATTGTACCCATGAAGCCCAACTTCTGTTCCATTCAGAATTCCTAAGCATACATTTCCATATTTCTGAACACCAAAGAGAAGAATCAGCTTCAGCAAATGGCCGGCCTTTCGAGGAGATAACCCATTAAACCATTTGCCTGTTTAAGTTTATCATCAGCATCGGTTTGTTACTCACAGTGATAATGAGATACGAGACAGGTGGAATCTGGAAAGGCTGAGCATTCTTTCCTGTCCCAAACTGTAATGTCAATGTCTTGAAATACTTGGCGACATCAAGAACCGATTTTACAGGTTTTACGCCTTTCCAGCAGACCGAAAGGCTCTTATCCTCCTTTGTTTCCGTCAAAGGCTTCCCATCCAAATCCTTATTTATCTAAGAGATACGCGAAAGCAGGTGCTCGTACAATTAGACTGTTCTTTCTCTTCTTTCTTTGAAGAATATAACCCTAGTTTTCGTGATTTGTTTCTTACCAGATCAAGAATCGCTTGATATGCCTTCTTGTTGAAGTAGGTGTATGAGCTTCCACTGTCGAAAACTAAGTTTAGGCCTTTCACACTTATACTCTTGCCGTTATAGAGAAGCTCTGCTGGTCCAACCATGTAGTTTTTACTATAAAAAGAATCACACAAGAGAATTTACCAGATGGTGTAAAAATATGAATACTGAGGACTAAAAATGTCAAATATTGCTTACTCTGGAGCATTACGAGACAGTGAAGTCCACACAACTCCAGATGAAGGAAGAAGCTCGTCTCCAATTGATAGAAAACCTCCGCCTTTATGACTTAAACAATGTGTGATCACATTCTTTGTTACACCCATTGAATTTAGCTGCATCGCCATGCCTATTTTCCCTCTACCAAGACCAAGAACTCCTGCAGTTGGAGGCGGAGGGTGTGGACCCGGGTGTTGCTGATCATACCCGCATCTGAAAAAAACAGGACAATACCTTCAATATCATGTAAAGATCCTGTGGCGGTAGTAATATTTCAAGATCTGAGTAAGATTCCATTGTATCAGAACTATTACCAACGTTACATTCCACATTTTTCGTGTTTGCTTATCTTTGAAACGAAAAATGAACTAAAGACTCACCCAAAGGTCAATTGGGGATGCACTATGGAGCCATTTGCAAGTCTTAGAGGAAACTCGTCAATTACTAGAGCGCCAATAGATGATGCGTTATCAGCATATCCGATCTCGTAGTCGCATTGATCTTCCGGGTTAGCACAGGGTCTGCTCTGAGGCAAGTCAAGGCCAGAACATAACATGTGTGAACAAGGCAGAGTGTTTCTCTTGGGCTTGTACTGATGAGTACGAGGCTGTAAAACAAGGATTGCATTCCGATCATAAACAACGGATTCAACGAGGAATTCTCTAGGCCCGGTTCATGTTTTTTAGTTTCAGAGACAGAAAAGATTCAACCTTTGTGCAACCAGTGCATGGAGCATCACATTGAACCCAAGTGAGATCACTGCCTGTATCAATGTCCAAGTCAAATAGCTTTGGTGGGTTTCCTATGTGAAGCAATACAAAGTAATACCTGAAAAACTCATACAACAAAAGATGAAATTTTCAATCACTCAAATCATAATGAAACAGATAGATAGAACCGTTTCGAAGTCAAGAAACAGAAGCAAAACAGAAGAGTTTGAATCAAATGAATAATACAAATGCAAACAAGATTGAAATAAGAGTTCTCAAACTCAAAATCCGACAGACGCAAATAGTTAATCAGCTAAAACCGATCGAGAAACCAAGTACCAAACATCAATAAACTAATATAATCTCTAGAGTCACCAAGACTGCTCATTCAGGACACAATCCGAAACAAGAATCAAGGAGAACAAGGAGTAGAGAAGATCAAACCATGAAAACGCGAGTGGGTTTTCCACATTTTTCGGGAAAAACGACATATTTGGAAATTTCGGAGAAGAACAGAACGTACCCAAGAGGGTAAACATTGCCGGAGACCGGAAACACGACGGAGGAACCAAACCGGTAATCCTCGAACTTCTCTTTCGTAGATTCTGCGGCTTCGAAGCAAGCACAGAGGACGAAGAACACAAACAGCAAGTAAAGCCCCACAAGCAGATTTCTCGTGTTGAGTTTTCGATTCATCTTTTTGTCACCCAAAAAGCGATACAGATTGAAAAGTTTAACCAAATCCCCAAAAAAAAGTTCCTTTCTTTTTTATCTTCTCTGCTACAGAGACAGAGACAAGTTCCTTTTTTTTCAACTGAGATTTCGAGTTCCCATCCCCATGGCGATCGATCAATTAATTGAATTCGGAATTTGGCAATGTTTCATTCAACACGCGCGATTGAGTACGTGTCCGCCACGCGCGGATTGCAATGAATGAGGTCCGTAGTTCTCTGTCGGTCCACCATGGGATCCATATTAGGCCCAACTAGTTGGGCTATATATTTTAAACATATGAATATAATAGATTATGAAAAATTAACAAACCCTAGATGGTTTATCTTATTCAATTGGCAATCGTGAATATATTAATAATTATAATTATATAAAATTAAAATGAATTTTAATTTATTCATTACAGTTTTCTATATTACTATATTGAAAAAAATTACTTATTAAATATTTTAGTGCATCTTTTAGTATATTCGTCAAACATAGCCATAGATTTTCAACAAAATTACTCCATATAACTATTATAAAAAGGGAAAAACATCAAAATAATATTATTAAGAATATTTTTAAGAATATAAATATGGTAAATATGATATAAGAGAACTCATGGAAAAGGGAAAATCAAATCGGAATCATCCATTATTCTTCACGATATAAATGTTCTTAATTTTATTTTGGACCATCTCCCTACACGACGGAAAAACTCCAGCGAGACAAGTCGAAAGGGAACGCGCCACATGTACACCTTCGTGACGTGGCGACAAGGTATTGGTTAGAGCACCGTTACGAATTGTACTTGATGTAGACAATTATTCTCCCTCATAATTTTATTTGGCTAGTTTTGAATAAGGAAAACAATCAGTAACGGCTAAAGTCAAGACACTATGTTTAACTCCTTGCCAAATTGTAAAACCTATGACGAGCTCTATCCAATGAGAATTCGCCACGTGGAAATTATGACCATTTAGAAGACAGTATTTTTTCCACAATGTGTTGATAAATATCTCTAAGTTGTTCCTCTGAAATCTCAAACGGAGTTCTCGCAGGTAAGAGAGAGAGGGAAGAACGAGAGAAGAGAGAGCGACAATGGCGTCAAGAGTTTCTGCGTGGATTTCGATCCTTCTGGTTTCGTTGGTTTTCTCTTCTATAAGAGCCGAGGAGGCGGAGACGAAGGAGTTCGTGTTAACTCTGGATCACTCTAACTTCACCGATACCGTCAGCAAGCACGATTTCGTCGTCGTCGAGTTCTACGCCCCCTGGTATTGCGATGGATCTCGCTTTCTCTGATCGTATTCGATGAATTAACTTTTGACTTTGATTTGCGTCGTGAATCTGACGGATCACCCTTTTTGTCTTTTTCCCGGATCTGATTTTTTTTTCCTTGTTCTCGCGCTTTCTGGGTCTGCATGCGTCTGATTACGTTTGTTGTTTCGATGGGTTGCTCTGAAATATCGTAGCTGATCCGTTTCATGAAGCATGGGTTTTGGTTATGGTTTGTGATTCTGAGGTTGAATGGTGCGATCTACATCAATTGATTTGATATTGTATCGTATTTGATGTGAGATATGAATGTGATCTTCTACCGATCCTGTTTTCGGTACAATGATGCGTAATCTTACTTCCTCTCTCAATTGATGCGTGGATGTATTCGATCTTGTCCTCTATCATTAGAGCTCACTCTCCTAAACCCATTCTTGTTCTGTTTCAGGTGTGGACACTGCAAAAAACTTGCTCCTGAGGTAATCGATTCGCTTTTCGATCTTTTAGATAGGATTTGTGAATGGAGACCCGATGATTTCGATAACTATTGTTGATATTTTGGTTTACAGTACGAGAAGGCTGCATCTGAGTTGAGCAGCCATGACCCTCCGGTCGTTCTCGCCAAGGTTGATGCCAGCGAGGAAGCAAACAGAGAGCTCGCGAACCAGTTTGAGATTCAGGGTTTCCCCACTATCAAGATTCTGAGAAATGGAGGAAAATCATCTCAAGACTACAATGGACCTCGTGAAGCTGAGGGCATTGTTGCTTACTTGAAGAAGCAAAGTGGCCCTGCTTCAGCTGAAATTAAGTCAGCTGAGGATGCTGCCGAGGTTGTCGGTGACAAGAAGGTTGTCGTGGTAAGTGTCTCTTCTGTTCCTTTCTTGGTTTCTCCACCGTTTCTTGATCTTGAAATTCCCAGCATGAATGTCTGTTGCTTTTGTTTTAGGTTGGTGTTTTCCCCAAGTTATCCGGTGAGGAGTATGACAGCTTCATGGCTCTTGCTGAGAAAATGCGTGCTGACTACGATTTCGCTCATACTTCGGATGCCAAGTTCCTTCCACGTGGAGAGTCATCTGTTGCAGGACCTCTTGTTAGGCTATTCAAGCCTTTTGATGAACTTTTTGTTGAATCCAAGGTATAGCAGATTGATTCCAGTTTGTACATTACATTGATGAGAAATCATTTTTTATAGTTGATGATAACCTGGGTTTAATGTCATATATAATTTATTTATGTTTCATGCAATCAGGATTTCAATGTGGAAGCGATGGAGAAATTTGTCAAGGAATCTAGCATTCCGATTGTCACCATCTTTGACAGTGATCCAGCCAACCATCCTTACGTTATCAAGTTCTTCGACAGCCCTGATGATAAGGTAACTTAGTCGCCATGTTATTGCTGATATCGACATATCCACTATGCCCAACTAGTGTTTCCGATAAGTATTTTGAATTGAAAGGGTACGGAATGGTGTTGCGATTGATTGGTAGCTTAGTTTCTGTTGGAAAGATCAAAGCTTTTTCTTTTGTGGTGCCTGTGATGGCACAATGTTTAACTCAGTGATGCTGTGACGTGGTAAAATGCTGCAATAACATAATGTTTTAGCTGGATTCGGATAGTATTTCAGTTCCCTAGTTGACCTTCTGAATGCATATGTTTTCTCTGTTTCTGTATCTCATATGTGATACATGACTTGCAGTCCATTTTTGTTTGCTGTGTTAATGGGCAATGTTTTGAAATTCAGGCAATGTTTTTCATGAACTTCACTGGCGAATCTGCCGAGTCTTTCAAATCAAAGTACAATGAAGTTGCTAGATCTTACAAGGGAAAAGGTCTTAGCTTCCTGCTGGGAGATGTTGAGAACAGTCAAAACGCTTTCCAGGTTAGTGTTCCTTGTCTCTGCCCCATCTCGTATCCTGGTGTGTCTACACATTACTGAGCCGATTTCTCTCTCTCTCTGTTTTCCTTTTTGTTTGCTTTGGAAAAACAGTACTTTGGACTCGAAGAGAGCCAGGTTCCTCTCATTGTCATCCAGTCTAACGATGGTAAGAAATATTTGAAAGCAAACTTGGAGGTGGACCAAATCGAGTCCTGGTTGGGGGACTTCAAGGTTAAGTTTCTGTGCAAAACTTTTGTGGTATAGGAAATAAATCTTAAACTGCAAAAGTCTGTATACGCTTCTAACTGAAGAAAATATTTGCAATATTTGCAGGATGGAAAAGTTGCGGCTTACAAAAAGTCTCAACCCGTTCCAACTGAAAACAACGAGCCAGTGAAGGTTGTCGTTGGAGAAAGCATTGACGACGTGGTTTTCAATTCGGGAAAGAACGGTGAGTGGATTCAAATGTTGTTCTATCCCAACATGTGAAGCTTGATCCAGAAAACGGGAAACTGATTTCCCAATCACTACTAAATTCCTTGCAGTTTTCCTCGAATTCTATGCCCCGTGGTGTGGACACTGCCAAAAGCTCGCCCCGATCTTGGACGAAGTCGCCGTCTCATTCCAGAGCGACCCGAATGTCGTTATAGCAAAACTAGTAAGTCTTATTACATGCATATACATCCGAGTTTCTCGTCCTACTCGATGGTATGTGTTCATTTACCCGATTTTCCTCTATCCCGTTTACAGGACGCCACCGCAAACGACTTCCCGACCGAGACATTCGACGTGAAGGGCTTCCCAACAATATACTTCAGGTCATCGAGTGGAAACATTGTGCAGTACGACGGAGACAGGACAAAGGAAGACATAATAAGCTTCATCGAGAAAAACAAGGACAAACCCGCAGCTGAGGAACCTAAGGAGGAAGCAAAAACCGAGGAACCCGAGGAGGAGGAGCCCGCAAAGGACGAACTCTAAACCGAGAGAGAGAGAAAGAGAGGTAGGAAAGGTGGAAGGTGTGTTACTCTTCGCTGCTATAGAGTTAGTATGGTAGTAATGAGGAATACAACACACACACACACACAACAAGACTTTTTATGAGTTAGGGGAGGATCTCTTTAATCTATCAGAGTGACGTTGCTGAACTTGTTCATCTGCCGCCTCATTTCGCCTTTTTTTTTTTCATTTTGTCTTTAGGTTTTTTTTTTTTTTTTTTTTTTGAATAATCTCCTTGTTGGTTTTGTGTTCCATGGAATAAAACTTGGTTTTGAGGCAAAACCTTCGAGCAGGAACTTGTATCCTTGGGTGTTTTTGTGAAGTGGAATACCGCCAACCGATCTCTCGTCAATCGGTTGTGGTTTCAACTGTTCACTCTAATAATGAAACGTACAGTGAAACGTGAAGAACACGTTAGGGCTTATCCTTGGTAAAAACGTGAAAAACAAGTTAGGGTTTTTCTTTGGTTAAAACCTGTTGTTTCCTTGGGGGTCGGCATTAAAAGATGGGGACATTTCGGCATGGTTTTTCAGAATTGATTTGAACTATATCGAATCTCTCTAAATTGTATTTTTTTTACAAAACTGAATATTTTAGAATCGAATCGAATATGATATAATAGCTCATTTATATATTTTATACAATCGAAAGAGTCAAACCAAATCATTTTTGAACTGAACTCAAATCAAATGCCAAAAATTCAAAAATCGAATATTCGGTTTGGTGGTGGGATATGTTATCTGAATCTATGGTTTGGATTCGAGGTTTTGGACGTGGTTGGTTAGTTTTGGGTATCAAGCATATGCAAAAGTTGGAAAATTCTCTTCATCACATCACCCACCCTTTTTTTTGTCTGATTAGGGTTTTGATTAGTTTAGGATTTATGATTGAAGGTTTGCCATTAAATTTGGTATAAAAAAAACGAAGCCGAGATGGAATATCTTTTAAAAGATCCGGATATTCTATAACCGTACACCCGAACCGGTCTCCGGTCTATATTCGATATTTGTCAACCGGTAATTTATTTTTTTCTATCTTCAAATGTGTGGCTCAGCTAATAAATGCCCAGAAAAAAAAATTAAAAAGACGCATTATTTACTTTGGGTAAATGAGCTTAAAATGGTATTGTTTTTATGACATATCCGATTACCCTTTTCATTTCTTTTATTTTTCTCCTTTTGCCTCCCGATATTATTATTTTAATACATTTATAAAAAGATAAATAATCGTTCGGAACACCTTTCATCAAACATTAAAAAGAAGATCTTCAAAGCAGGGATCTCGTATAAAACTTAAATTATGTTTTTCTTCTGTTTTTTTTTCTAAAATTTTCGATTTTCAGATCTAAAACATTTTTTAAGTACACTTTATTATTTATTAATATATTAAATAGATTAAATATAATACAAACATTTTTATTAATAAATTTAATAACTTTTAACCAAAACATAATGGGCAAGTAACCTTTTATGTGTGTATATATATATAATATTAATTTATCTATAAATAATGGAAGAATTAATAAACGATATATATATATATGCATATACTGATATACATATATATGAATTATTATTATTATTATTATATTTTGGTTCATGTGCCATGGAAATAGAAATATAGAACTCAATTGCTTGCATAACGTTTGTAGTGTTCTGTTGAATATTTTACACGTGTATATATGTGGGTCCACTTGCGTATTTTAGCATTTAGTAGTGAGATCTAGGCTCTTGCACCTGTCGGTGGTCCATTATATATATATATATATATATATATGAATATTTATTAGTTTTCATCTCTTCGTCGTTTTCATATTTTGATCGGAATTAGTGTGTGTATATATGTATGTATCGTTTAATAACAAATATAAATAAAATATTCCACAATCCTTGACTTTCCGTTAGGAAAAAAAATGTAAATTCAATTAAATTCCATTCAAAACAGATATAAATTCCAAGCGTTTTGGACGTATGTTTTAGGGCAAAGGACAAACAAAATAGGAAATGAAAGGATACAAGACAACAACATGAAATTAAATACCAAATGGGAAATGACAAATATTATACATCAGTAATGTCGTGAAGGGAATTACATTCTTCCCTTTTTTTATTCTGCAATCATAGCTTATACACACATATATATATATATATATATATATATAGTAATACACACCCATATATTTTAGTTCAAGCATATATATATATGTATATGTTTATTTGTGGAATTCAATAACCCAACAATAGTAAGCACGGCAAGGGAACTCGCAACGGGCGAAACCCGATTTCTTAGCCAAAGCTTCGAACTCGGCCCGCGTCCTCTCCCTTCCGCCGCCCAACAGCGTGCACACCAGCACGTCCATGTCGAACCCGAAGTTCGAGTATTCGCCTCCGCCCTCGGGGTTTGTCGGGATGATCGTCTCCACGATGATCACTTTCCCTTTCTCCGGCAGCGATTTCCAGCAGTTTTTAAGAATCTTTACAGAGTTCTCGTCGTCCCATCCATGGATTGATCTCTATATTGACCGAGTTTATAATTAATTAGAGAATTAGGGTTTTCATGAACGCTTCTAAAATAGACTAAAATATTCATGCAGTGAAAAAATAATTAATAAACTTTTTTATTTTTTGGTAATGAATAATTAATAAACTTACTTTGGTGAAGATGGCATCCCCTTTCGGGATCTCAACAAACATATCTCCGGCCACATGTTCCACACCTGCGACCAAACGCACTATAATTAATACGAGCCCCGCTTGTTTTTAAACGAGTAAAAAAATGTTTAGTTCTAATTCAACTCGCCTAACTCGTAAGCCGAACAAATAATAAAAAAATATATATTTACAAAAATAAAAGTAATAAAATGACGATAGTATGCAAATAAAATATTTTTTAAAACCCACGATTGGTTGGATGATCCAGCTAGTGGAAAATATTCACATGAGTTTCTTAAAATTTCCTAAAATATATTATACAAAAAAAAATCATAAAATACCCTTTTGCTAAGAGATAGAGTTGGATCAAATATTCTGTAAAATTTCGAATTATTAAAAAAAATTAAAAAATTAGTCTCACGAATCAACTCGTGGCTCGATCGAGTTGTAGCTTGTGATAAACGGGCTCTTAAATCCAATTTTTTTTTTTACAATAACTATAAAAAATATGACTCTACTCGCCTAAAAAAAGGAGATGATCGATTGATATATATATACACACACATATATGTCTATAACACGAGTATTTTTCTTCTAGTATGTAATACCATCTACGTGTAATATTGTATCATGCATGAAATGGAACACGTTACAATAGTTATATAAGAATGAGAGAATACCGTACCGGGAAAAGGAGGAGCCTTTGCTATGACATCGGGCAAGTCGAAATTGATACCCTTCATACGAGGATACTTTGAGGTGACGAGAGCAATGGAAGTGCCATCAGATCCTCCCACATCGACCAGAACGTTCACACCTTCGAATCCTCTGTAAACTTCTAGAAGCCTCTTCATGATCATGGTGGAATGCTCCGCCATGGCTCTGTGGAACAGCTCGTGGAAGGGTTTGTTCCTCCTCAAGTATTCGTACAGGCTCACGCCATGGGCGCGTGTGAACGGATCGGTTCCATCCAATATCAAATCCTTCATATGAAGCCTGCACGTGAACATATAAATGGATATAATTAATGAAGAATCGTTATCTATGGCATATATACAAGAGTTTTTCAATGTGAATATGACGTATATATTACTACGTGTATGAAGTGCAGGGGGGAGAGAGAGAGAGAGAGAGATACCACATCTTGATGTAGACGTCGCTCTGTGAGACGAGGTACAGTGGGACGACAGAACCGGAGTCTTGGTTATTGTTGGACAGAAAGAACCGGCAAATCGGTTTGGTAGCGTAAACCGACTCGGTTTCTCCGGTACGACCGTTCTCTCTGGCCTGAACCGTACGGCACTTGACCATGTCGTAGCTGGCGAGCAAGCGAAGCATGCGGTCCAACAACATGGGAGCATGTGGGTTGGTAGGCTTGATCGGAAGGCGGCGCGCTATCTCGGAAGGCGAGACCCACGCGCCTTCACCTGCTGACGCAGAGCGGTTTTCAAAGCCATGGGGAACGCAATCGCGTTGGTTATCCTCCCGGCCCTAATGCCCACCTCGTCATCATCTTCTTCTATTTTGTTATTCCCGTTAATGATAGGGTTAGGTTTAGGGTTTAGCGATGATTCTTTGTTTCCGTTAAGGGTAAGATTAGGGTTAGGGTTTAGGGATGGTTCAAGAACATTGATGATGTCCATTTTCTTTTACGCTCAACGGAAATCGAAGTAAATGAAAAAGGGTAAAGAAATATAGCAAATATGTTTGTGGTTTGAGCTTTGATCTTCGCTCCTTTTATAGACAAAAAAATCGTAGGCGTCTATGGAAAATGTTATCGACGTGTCACTCAATGCATGCATGCATGGGCACAATTTCCTTCATTGTGTGACACGTATGTATATATGTAGACAGAGACATCATATCGCTACAAAACACCGCTAAAATATGATGAAGAACGCATAACATTGCATCATATGTATATACATATATATATACATATTAGTGGTTCCCCAAAAAAAATTGCGGTGTTTAAAAAGTGAAATGGAAAAAATATAGATTGTCTTGAAAAAAATAGAATTTTTAGGTAAAATCTATAAAAAAATATACAGAGTTTATAAAATATATAATAAATATATCAATTTTAAAATTTATAAATAAATATATAAAATCTTTAAATTAAAGTGTACCAAAAACCTATATGAACTCTTCAAATTGAACAACATAATTCGAATATAAAATTATTTTTGAATAAAAAAATGTTAAAACATTGTTAACATTTATTTATAAAATAATTTAGATAAAATAATCGATGATGGTGTAAATAAAGATTATGTATAAAATTGTTTTCAATTCCAAAAATTGATGTATTTATTTTTTGTCATTGATATATTTATTTGTCAAATTAAAAATTGATATATATTTTTTTGGTATATTTCATAAAGTTCGAATTTTTATGGGATTTTTTATGATTCTTGTTCATTGATCTCAAATCTTCTTATAAAAAAATCATTACACCAAAACGTAATTAGATCACAACAAGTGATGGTTTAATAGTGGTAAATGTTGTAAAAATAGTAATTTTATATATTGATAAAATAAAACTTGAATATACATAAAACAAACGGTATAGAATTATATATACATGTAAGTCCAATATATGAAGACATGAAAAAAAAATACTTTGAAAGAAAAATATAAAAAAAAATGAAAAATAGGATCCTATGGTGAATGAGAAATGGGCATTATCAAATATACTCTCTATTTTCTAGTTTGATTTCAAGACATACCGTTTTTCAACTGTGATCCGAAATATAATCTTGATCATATTGGGCGTAACGTTAAATTTATGATGATCACACTCATTCATTATATTTATACTTTATATATCTCACTAATCATTTGATAAAAATATTAAAAATTTAATGTTATGACCAATGTGACCAAGATTATATTTTGGATCATATGGTCATAGTTGAAAAAAGGTATGTTTTAATGTCAAAATAGTAAATAGAAGATATTTTTGATATAATGCCAATTAGGAAAGAACGACACGGATCTTGATAAGATATCGGTATTTTATTGTGAATTATAAATATAAAAAATCGGAAAATAAGATCTTATCGTGAATTAAAGGACAAAAATAGAAAAATTGGAAAATAATATCCTATCGTGAATTAGAAACTAACGACAAAGATCTTGATAAGATATCGGTATGTTATCAAGAAATCTTATCATAAAATTGGTTGGTGGAGATAAATCAAAGCAGAAACACGACATTGAAACAAAAAGCACATGGAATTACAATTTAAAAAAGGGGCTAAAATAGAAAGTATTGAAGAAATAATATATAATTAATTAACTCAATATATCACTAATCAACTCAATATAATCATTAATGATCCGTTATGCAACAAATTTATCCGTAAACAATCCTTCTCGTTATAATTAGAAAAGATGCAAATCCTTGAAAGAGAAAAAAATAGGGAAATGGAAACACTGAATAAAACAAACGGAAGAGAGAAAATTCAACTGAATAAATTATTTCAAGAGTTCGTAATGGAAATTTGTTTATATTTTAATATTTGGAAACAAAAAAATTTGATTTCTGGAAAATTTTCACAGGAAATTAGTAATTTACAAAATTAATTATGCGATCTAAATATATCATATATAATAATGGTAACATATAATTATTAAACAGTGTATGATTAAGCTACTCGAACGTTTTTATGAGATGAAACAATATGATTTGAAATACCAAAAAGTTGGTATTTATTCGCAAAACTAATATTTAATTATGATATCATAAGATACCAAATTAAGAAATTAACAATGATTTACATAATATCGTAATAGTCCATACACAAACTGTTAGTTTGTACAAAAAAACTCTGTTTCTTTTTTTGTTTAAAAATGCTGAAACATAAAAGTGTCATAATAAAAATTCGTATGTATTATATAGATTACTTAGAAATAGAAATAGATTATTATTATTATTATTATTATTATTATTATTATTATTATTATTCTTATTATTATTATTATTATTATTATTATTATTCTTATTATTATTATTATTATTATTATTATTATAAAATCTCACTTTCCAAAAGCACTATAAAAAAACACTGAAAAGTCACAAGCATTTACGCGTGAAGCACGTTCGCATTTTTGGACCACTAAGTAGGTAAGTGACATTAGAAATAGATATTCAAGTTCCATAAACTCTGCCACGTGTCTGTAAATTTTAAAATTGTAAAGGAAATTCGAGAGAAAAAAGCAAAAGAATAATAAATTTCTCGGTTCCATATGACGTTTTAAAATAGTTTTTGTTTTAAAATGAAAAATATTTGTAGATTTTTTTGTATTTTTTTTTATATTTTTTCCAATTTTACTTATATTCCATCATAGTTAATAAAAAATAACAATATTTAAAAAATAAACTAATTAAAGAGAATTTTTAGGAAAAATATTTTTTTGTAACGTATATGTTAATTTTAAGCTAAAAAGATATTTAAAACTGACTAATATTATCCAAATTAGTGTGTACGTGTATACACTAATACACATACAAAATGGACATGGAAGTATCGTAAACTTAGTGTTTCGTTTTCTATATATTTTTTGGTGAACGTTTCGTTTTCTATATTGATTATTATTATTATTATTATTATTATTATTATTATTATTATTATTATTATTATTATTATTATTAATATTATTATTATTATTATTATTGTGGTGGTATGAATCTACCGACACTCAAGTCGTTTTAGGCCGGGTGATGCGAACATGCATGACCATTGACGAACATTGCGCCTTTTTCCACATTTCCATTTGGCCTTTTCCACATAATTCCATCTCTAGTTATTTATGCTAGGACCCGAAAAAGAGAGAAAAAATCAGACACCATTCATTTCTCACGCCTTTAATAACCAACCTTTTATATATATTTATATATATATAGTGCGAAATTATGTGGACCAAATTAATTAATTTCTTTGGGAAAAAAAACAAATATGAGAGTGTCCAAAAAGAAAAAGACAACTCTTGCAGTAGCGGTCTTGAATAAAGCCGGTTGATATTATATATACTATTTTTATGAGCAATGAACCCTTTTGTAAAATGCATAAGAAATTTGATACAAAATACAAATATAATCCAGAAAAATTACAAATAAATACATGGATTTGTTCAAAATTTTACCAATAAATAAATACATGAATTTATTTTTGTAAGATTTGAACAAGTAATTATTTAGAAGATAAAAAAATATATATATTTATTGGTAAGATTCGAATAAATATTTACTTGTAACACTCTAAATATTTCTAAACTCATTTTTCTTCTTTCTTTTTCGATATTTACAAATCTTCCATATTTACAAACTTCGTATAAGAGAATATTGCAAATTGATATATTTTTTGTGAGAAAAAAATTCATATATTTATTTAAAATTTTCCCTGTTAATTGAACCTCGAAAACCAACGGGATCATATAAAACGAAAAAACATAAACACAAATCATTCCAACAAACATCACAAATATGTGTGTGTGTGTGTGTGTATATATATATTCTTCCCCTTTATGCGTATACAGTCATTATGAGACAGAGACTTGTCTATTTTTACGTACATGAGGTAAAAAAAAGTAAAAGTAAATAATAGGAGAGAGTTACCACATCTTGATAAAGACGTCGCTATGTGTCATAAGGAACAGTGGGACAACAGAACCGGAGTCTTGGTTATTGTTTTTCAGAAAGAACCGACAAATCGGTTTGGTTGCGTAAACCAACTCGGTTTCTCCGGTCCAACCGTTCTCTCCGGTCTGAACCGTGCGGCATTTCACGATGTCGTGGCTAGCGAGTAACCGAAGCATGCGGTCCAGCAACACGGGGGCTTGTGGGTTGGTAGGCTTGGTGGGGAGCCGACGCGCTATCTCGGAAGATGAGAGCCACGCGCCTTCACCAGCCGCTGCGACTGGCC